TTTACTTCTCATACTTCATTTTTACACTTTTCTGCTGGATGGTTAAGACCAAGGTAAAGCAGGACCTATGCAACAAGAGTTGTAGCTTTTGGGTCTCAATTTGGATTTTTTAAAAATGTTTTAAGAGGAACCTACATATTTTAGGAATATATACATGTTCCTATTTCCAATCAGTGCCATCAAGATAGAAGAGCAGAGTTGGGGCAAACTGGACAACCAACATGCTAGAATGCCTTAGCAAGAAAAGCCAAGGCCCACTCTCTGAGTTAGACATCACCTAAAAAGAGAAGCCATGTACACAAGGACCAAGGTCATTCCCTCTAGTTACAAATGGGCAGAACCAATCAAAAGACTCTGTTCCTAATACTTCATTTATACCTTGTGAGAGGCCACATGAGTTTTTCAGTAAGATAATTTATATCTGGCATGAGGCTAAGCAAATTTTCGTTAGGACAATTGTCTCAAAGCCATATTTACACAAGGTGGGGACCAAACCAAGCATTTTGGGTCCTAATGCCCCTTTCCCTTTCCCCTCCTGGGTCACTGTGAGCCTTCTTTGAAGGCCCACTCACACCCTGGCAAGTTATTCCCTTGCTTATGCCTACCATAGATCTATATCCACCATTGCCTTTCCTGTGTTTCTTATCAAATACTTCGTTCAGGACACCAAGGACTGGGAAAGAAGCCCCAGCACGCCGACCAGGCAACATCATTATCAGTGTTTTGCCCTTCTCCAAAGTACAGAGAGGAAGCAAAGGAACTGGTTGTACTTCAAATCTTTACTGCCTTCCCATGTTATGCTTGAAACACTAAGGGCAGATAAATAAAAATAATGAAAGTCATGACAAAAGCACTGATGCATACTTAGGTTGATAAAGATCAATGTTGGCTCTTATTACCATTGAGCCCACAGAAAAAGGCATTTTCATACTATGGTGCACGGGAGAGAAAGTAGGCACCAATAAAAAACACAGAATCTGTATGTTACTCTGTAGCCTTTATTCCACGGAAGACAATGAAAAATAGCAATTTCTGAAACAAAACAGACTGAAAACCAACAATTTCCTAAGCATTCTCTCTGCCTCTGTCTCTCCCCGTGTCCCACATTGTTCCAAGGATTTTTCTGCAACACCATCTGTCCATGTTACTGCAACTGCTTAAAATACACTCAGAGATCTCCCAAACATGTAAAATAAAAACT